GATTGGTTTTACTGGAAGATTCATGCTGACGCTGTTTCCGAGGCAATCTCCTTCGATTCCGGTGAAAAGGGGCTTAGCTTTCGTCCGTCATATGAAGAACATCATCAGAGCGAGGTAACATCGTCACAATAAAATTCAAGCTAACGAGTCAATAAAACTGACCGGCAAATCCCTAAAAAGTGGTATATATACTCTACATCTGGCCTCTTTGATCAAGTATAAAGTGATTTAGTTAGTTAAGGTCATATCCCTAAAAAGTGGTATATATACTCTATATCTGGCCTCTTTGATCAAGTATAAAGTGATTTGGTTAGTTATGGTCAGATGTCAATTTCGATGCATGTGAATGTGTCTGTCTCTGTATTTATATGTGCATGTTTGTGCTCGCTTATGCACGAACCCGAAGTGATGACTCAAAGTAAATAGGACAGCAAAAAGGAACGTCTGTTTTAGGCCATCAAGGTTTGATGAGTCTATTTTTTTGATTTTGGTCTCAATGCGAGACAGAAACAGTGAGCTAAAAGGACAGACAATTGACTATGATTAGAACCAAAACATATATTTCGATTTACACAGCCATTTCAATGCCACCTCACCTCCAGATCTTCCATCGGGTTCTCGGTGACGTGGAGCGGAGAGCTCACGAGATGCGGCAAGCCGTAACTGTACGGATGATGGGCTGCTGCTTTCTGAATGGCATTACGCTCGTGGAATAGCCGACGAGAGAGGAGGCTCGTGAGTCCTTTCCAGAGGTCACCGGCTGGTCGGGCCACCAACACTTCATGCTGGTTGGCACGGGTCAATTGTGCAGGTGACATTGCCGGCTGGTAAGTGATACCGGAGTCTGGATAGGTATTACCGCGAACGGACGAAGGGACAAAATAGGGATGACCTCGATGACTGGAAATCACAGGACTGCAGCCTTTGGGCTGGTGGCCATGCTGTCGGCGATGAATGAAGACGGCGCCGATGACGACAATCGCCAAACCCGCTAGCAGGGAGCCAATCACGATGAATGCGATGTATCCGGCTGAGCCAGAGGAAATGTTTGCCTGTTAATGTATTACGAGAAAAAAGATATAAGCATATATTCATCTGCATATGGGCAGGGAGCAATGTTGCTGCTCCAAACGGATAGAAAAATTATTTTCAGAAGGAAAATCGCGATTTTTAGATGCCAGATTGCACGTAAGTCATTGACTTAGTAGATATAAAGATCAAGATATTACAGTCTCCTTTCGATGTCTAAAAGTGGTCTGACCGCGTTTTCGCAACTTGGTCGTGTTGTCAGAGATAATTGGTTGGACACACCTTGTCCAAAGTCCTTGGACCGTGGACTTGGTACATTCCCAGACATTTCACCGGCATTTCCAGTGAGCCCTGCCGTTCTTAGCGCCACATTAAAACTCGCCAAGAAGACAAGTGAAGCCGATTTTTCGACCAAATATATGCCCGACAGTTGTGGTATCTCACCTTTTATCCCGGTGCATTCAAACCTCCTATATCCCCGTATCACCGCTTCACTAAATCCATTCAAAATGGCACACCTGAACAAGGTTTTAATAGGCAACGAGGATATATGATGGGTAAATGCACCGGGATATTGTACTTAACTCTGATGCTCATGTTGCCAAGTGAAAAAAGAGAAAAGGATGAATTTTTAAATAATGACTATGATTTTGCTTGCCTTGACGTGCCGCGAAGACTCTCGAGCCACCAAGTGATCAGATGGATGGGCTAATCGACGTTCTTCATTCGAATGTGCCAACGCTTCACCCATCCCTTGGGTGGGATATTCACTATCGGATACAGCAGGCTTAAATTGAGGTCGTTGGATTACGATCTGTGATGCAAAGTAAAAGATTAGGAGGACAGAAATAAACAGTTATAGACATTGACTATAAGGTAACTGTGTCTGTATATGTTAAAATAAAATGTCGTATTAAGTAAGGGTCTCAAAGGGAACCGATGATTTGTCCATGAAAAGAATGGGGCTGAATTTGTAGGTAAGCATGTAAGTGTAAGTACGCATTAGTTGAATTTAGTGTCTACGAATAACGCGTCCACCACTTATGGACGTGACATTCTGGCTTTCAGAATCAGTAGAACTCAATATGTGCTCTAAAGCGCACGATAACGGTAGAAAAAAAATTTTTAATACAATTTTACGAGGAAATTTTTCTTCTACAAATCCACAAAAATTTCAACTTTTCTTTTCTTTTGTCATATAAATCTTAGATATTATCCTATGTCTCCATAGGTTGTTCAAAGTGATGTAATGACTTCTAGTTGATATGACTAGGCCTCAATATGCAATTGAAGCTAACTTAGACTTACCTCCCGAAAGAAAAAATCTTCCCGGCTCGACAGTAGTCTCGTCATAGCAGGTTTTATTTGATGAATATAAGAGAATAGCCAGTTTTCAAGAAAATGTTTAGTTATTTTGCATTAAGAGTTAGTATTATGCCTTATTGGCAGTGTACGTCACAAAGCCCCCAACACATTAAATCTTTAATGTGACTAGACTTTTTAAGTGAACTTTGTCTGGAGGAGATTCGTAATTTGGACTAATGGAAAACCGAAGTAGGATCACCATGGAGCCGAGACTATTAAAACGTGATAAAAAGTCCCCGGCTCATCGTCTGTTCATCGAAGTTGCAGGATAGTGAGCAGAGTACTTTTTGCAGACCCCGACAGTCCTCACACCAAAACAATCCTTGTTCAGTTTCTGGTTAGCACAATTCAAGAATTCCCTCCAACCAGCTTCTCCTTTAAAATGAATAGTCGAGTCACAATGATGTTTTATTATACCGTGGGTTTCGAAATTCTCACTGCTAATAAGGCATAATACTCAACTTGAGTAAGAAACAAATAAGAATATTTTTGAACGTCATTTAGAAAAAAATGCAATGACAGAGTAATAATAAGATTATATTTTTATAGAAAAACGAAAATTATGACCTTTTTACAGGATACCCTGTTACACACTGACACGCGTGGTTGCGCAGCCCATTTAGAATCCCATTAAGGGTGAGGGTGAAATCAAATAGAGGGCGAAACTAAAATCCAGATTGGAAGAGAAGGTCTTATGGAAAACAAGGCACCAAAGGTTTTGCGTTTGTTTCACCTTGGAAAATTCGACTATCAGCTCCGACGTCCCCTTAAAATTTCTTATGTTGAGCTCACTTCCATTTGGAATAAAAGAGATTCAAAGGTCAAATACATCAAAAGGCGACGGCAGATTCCTCTTGACCAGCTGTCGATTGGCTTTACTGGAATATTCACGTTTCCGCTGTTTCCGAGGTAATCGCCTTCCATTTCGGTGAAAAGGTGCTAAGCTTTCGTCCATCATATGACGAAAATTATCGGAGCAAAGTATCATCGTTACAACCAAATTAAAGCTAACGAGTCAAGAAAACTCACCGGAAAATCCCTAAAAAGTGGTATATGTACTCAAGATCTGGCCTCTTTGATCAGGTATAAAGTGATTTGGTTAGTTAAGGTCATATGTCGAATTCGATGTATGTAAGTTAAATCTGAGCAAATGCTCAATCTTAAGGCTTCTTAATCTATCCATGAGCAGCACATACTTCACCTGTCTGATAAAGTTTATGAACAGGTGCAGGGTCTAGCCATTGGATCTTGCTTGGCTCCCATTTTGGTTAATAATTACATGTCAAGAATGGAGGAACACTTCATGGAAGAGGTAAGATTGACACCCAAACTTTTAGTTAGATATATGGATGAATACTTTGCCATATGGCAGCATGGCAAGGATAGTTTAGATAATTTCTTGTTTTTAATTAACCACATTGATTGCAATATGAAGTTGACAATAGAGATGGAGATTAACAATAACTTACCCTTTTTAGATTTTTTTGTGATCAGAGTAGGTGAGAAGTTAAGCAGAGATGTT